CGTAAAGAACGAAAAGACCACAAAATCGGCGATCGAAAAAGAAAACTTTACAAAAAAGTATCACAACCGAAAAAAAAAAACAAGCAGCAAAACAGTTTCACTAACACAATCTCACAACACAAATTTTTTCTTTACGGTTTTTTGTTCGTTTTTCGATTTTTTTTGGTTTTCTTTTTATTTCTTTGGTTTGTTTTCCGAGTTACTTGTGTAAATCCGTGCACCTCGACGATTTGGAGTCTAATGATTTCAGAGCTCGTATTTCCTTGACTAGAAAACTAATCCGGCCTACTATGTTTCTTATTAAATTTAAAAACTGTTCTATGTGTTCTGCCCCCCTCCCTCTCTGACAAAAGCAATCGTGAAGTAAATATCGATATGCAGCCTGGGACAGTGATACTCGCATTCGATAGAAAGCGAAGAAGAAGTGGCCGGGTTGGAGGGGTGGTAACTCTTTTCGTTGCAAAGGGAAGGAAAGATTGAGAGGAAAAGGGTTGTTGTGAATAATGGAAATTCGTGAAAATTGATGGCCATCGCAGGAAAATCAAGGAGGCATTGCCGTTCGCTGTCACAAAGAGTTAATTCGGAGTGTCGGTGGAAAGGGGCAAATTCCTTAAAGCTGTTTCCCCCATTTGCAGTTCTTAAACAAAAGACACTTTGTCGCCGCGGCACAGTTGCCGGGCGAGAAAGAAATATGGCACATGACAAAGCAAAAAAGTTGCTGTTGCCAAAAAGCCGTAGCGTGGCCATCCCCACACCCCGCTCGGTTGCAAACGCAGCCCTTCGTTCCTCTGTCCCGCTGCCTTGGAAGAGTGCGCACCCAGAATGACTCGACAAGGAATGCATTTGTGTCTGCCTCGGCTTTTGTCGGTGTCGGTGTGCATGTGTGCGTGTACGTGTGAGTGGCAGTGTGTGAGTGCGGAACGTGGCCATTGTGGCAAGTGCCAGGGAATGCCATACGAATGAGAAGTCCATTTGGTGGATGCGGCAAGCTGTGGATGAGTGCGAGACCGGGACGAATACTTTTGGTGCAACAGCAACCCAAACAAAGGCTGCGGACAAAACTTTAACCGCAAAAGTTTTTATTTACTGGTTGTAGGGATTTTCCTCTCGGAGAATCCGCAGCAGGTGAAGCAACTTCTTGCTCGGTGCGTGGCCAGAAAAACATCAAAGTTGCATTAAGTGGCAGCCTGGAAGGCACATTAGGCAAAACACGAAAAAGACAACAAAAAACCCTTTCATTGTGTGTTTGCCAGCCAAATGAAATGCTTTAAATGTACCTACAACTGACAGCTACCTAGAGAAAACTGTCATTTTGATGGAAGCATTTATTGAAATAATTTAACCATTTGGTGCCCTCCTACATATATGTATGCATATATGCTTCGAGTCCATCACTCTCGAGAGGTGAAAAGCGCTCGTGTAGAATCGCAAAATGGATTACCTAATGAGAGCAGAAGTGCATTTCATTAGGCCGGGTCTAAGCGCATGGACCGAGCTTCGCTCTTAGCCCCACTTGACCCAATTCCCCGTCCTCTTGGCCCTGGGGTTAGAGTGCGTTAATTGCTGGCACTGCCAAAGCTTCGAATGGGTTGACGGAAAGACGCGACTGACTCGGGCTCAAGGCTCAAGTGTTTTGGGCACTAACAGATTTACTGAATTATGCAACTGTCTGGTGAAAGGAGGGGGATGGGAATTGGAGCCTTTCGACCATAGATCTCTTACAAGCCATTAGGTATGCATGGGCCGGCCATCTATTTCTGTTGCAGATCCCATCAGCATCCGAGCCGCATTTGTGCTGCTCAATCATTGAATTCCTTTCGATTGCCAAGAATAGAACACAACAATGGGCCCACATTTGACAATGCAATGGCACAGTGGACACAAACACACAGCCCAGGCATTTTTAATGAAGTGTATCTAATATAGAAATTAATTAAACCCAGCAACAGCAAACGACAGCAGTTCGGGCCAGGCCAAAACAGAGCAGACACTTCTGGTGGCCATATGCGAGTAGGTTAGACTCTGGGTGTGGATTGCAAGACATTTGCCAGGGTCACCATCAGCATCAGCATCAGCCTCAGCAACAGCACCACCAGGGAGGGATCTGCCGTGGCGGTGGCGGTTGGGGGATTTCCCCCATCGTTGCCTTCACAGGTGACAGCACAAGTTCAACGCGTTGAGGAAAAACAGCAACTCAGCTGGTTGCCACTTGCCCCCATTCATTTGCTCCTTCGTTCATTCATTCATTATGCTTATTAGGTTTTGCTGTCAGCGGGTGTCGGAAGACCCAGAGGGAACAAGAGAAGAGGAGAGGAGAGAGCTTTGTGTATTGTTATTCTGGCATATTTATGGCATACCATACCCATACCAACATACCACATACAGATACAGACACAAAGCAGACAAAATTATCAGAGGCTGCGTTTAAAATTAATTACATTAAAATGTCGTCCACATTCTCGGGGCTATCTCGAGGCTATCCCCTCGGTGTCTGTGTCGTATATCATAGATTTTACATATTAATTACTGAATGCACATCCTAGAAATCCCCCAGAACGACACCGTTTCGCATCTCTACTTCCTCGTGCGAGTACGAATATGTGTACTGGCCGCGGCTCAACAATTTCCGCAAAGAAAATTTCACTTTTCTCCCTGACATGTGACGACTATGGACATATGGGGGAAGCGGAAAGGAGATGCGGGTGCTTCACCTCCAAAGACAGCGCCAAAAGTGTGTGAAAGTTGCCCGAGAGTTTGTCGTGCAATTAGAGCAACATGCAACTGCGACTGCGACTGCGACGACGACGACGTCCAAAAGTGGACGACGACAGCTCTGGGAAACTGGCGATCTGGCTGGGAAATGCGTTTTCCGCTGGCGATGGCACAACTTGAAAATCAAGTTTTACAATCTTGTTGCTGATGCTTCTGCTGTTGCTGGAGGGGAGTACAATGTCCATGGCCAGGCCAGGACAGGCCAGGCCAGGAAATGGTACAGCAACAATCAGGCGGCCAAAAGCGGTTTCCACCAACTCAACGTGTTTTTCGCTGCCTTTTCTACTATTCGGTTTCTCTTCCTTTCTGACGATGATGCTGGTGCTGATGCTGATGCAAGCAAATCGAACGAAATCGAAATCAATTTCGGAATGTGCGTGGTGGCCATGGAGCCATTGAACCGCGCTCATCAGGAGCCATTGGCCATTGGCCATCATCGCTATCATATCGTCGTGGAGCATGGCGCGTTATGTAAGCATCGGAAAACCCGTCGAGGCACATCTAGTGCGACGTTTATTTGTTTGTTTTCCATTGAAGCAGCGCCAATACGAATGCTACACATACTCGTCCGTATAGACGAGTGCGTGAGTGGGGAAACATTGTTGCGGCGAAAGTTTTCCTCTGGCTTCAAACTCCAGTTGCGCGTGCCACCAGACACTGGGGAGGACATGGTGCCTGACCATCGTATTTGATAGCTCTTGGCCAACATGAGCCATCAAAACTGGAGCACAATTGCCAACCGCCGCATGTTGCTTTGGCTGTGGCTGTGGCTGAGGCAGTGGCAGTGGCAGTGGCACTGGCACTGGCATTCGAAGGAAGAATGTGGCCAACAGGAAGTACAGCAGTAATGCGGTGTAGCGAAATGGCAAAATTGGCGAAATGGGAAATGGAAAATGGAATATTGCGAGCACAAGTGGATGGAGAGATGGAAATTCGATTTAACCACAACTCCTTGAAAGCGCATTCAAAACTGATGAAATGAACCTCTTCCACTCCGCCGAACAAAGAACAAGGAAAGGCATTGGTAGTCGGGCAGTCGGAAGATATAACGATCCTAAGTATGACTGGACTATTCCAAGTATGCGACGACTAATTAAGTTCCCATGCCTTGGGTAAATGGGTTCTATTTCAAATGAACAAATCCGCAGATAATCTAATAATCTAATAAGCCGCGAACATAAATCTGCTCATAAATATTCGGGCCGTCATCTTTCTGTCAGCGGAAATGAATGCATTAATTGTCGAGCACCGGGCCAGAATGTGAAATATGCCTCAGAGAGACATATATGTACACATGTACATATATACTCGTGGATAGACATATTTACGCGACAGATTTCAACGCCACGGCGAAAGAAATTGCACAGAAAAGATCTCTCTGCAGCGTTGAAATATCGTAAACAAATTCAGATTCGGATTGGGATTCTGATTCAGAATCCGATACTGCTATATACAGATACAGATGCGGAGATGAAGGTGCATATATAGAACACTAAGCATAGATCATTGCGATTTAAGTGCCCGAATATTTGCCAGCAGCCTCAAGCCAAAAGTAAACAAATAAACCAGAGAGAGAGGGACAGAGAGACACAATTGAGAAGCAGCGAGCAACCATATGCATATTTTTGCCAATTTTATTCGCCAAACAATTCCATTCTGAAGAATTTCATTGAAAACAGCCACACGCATCAGCAATCAAAAAGGAGAAAGATAGAATCGTGTTCTATATGTGGGGAAAGGGGAATAATGAAAATGGAAAATGTATACAGACAGTTTGGACTCCGGATAGAAGCGGAGAGTGTTCGACACCTCAATTACAAGTTTTCATTAATTGCATTTCGCATCGAGTGTTGCTCCCCAAATTGTTCGCTCTGTGTGGGGGATGATGGCCATTTTCCGGCCATCCGGTTTTCAAGTGCGAGGCAAGGTCAATGCCAGCCAATGGAGGATCGCATCGGATCGGATCGTATTGGGAAGTGTAATGCCATTTGAGGATCGGAGTCGTTGTATAATCGTTTGCCGGTGGGTGTTGTAATTGTGGCAGTGGGACCGTGGCCGCTCTCACACGAGTATTTGCTTATGGGGCTTATGTAAGTCGCAGAATGCCCAACGCTTGCTTGATTATAGGCAAGCCTAAGGCGTGTCTAAGCGTTTCTTTCCACAACGAATCGAATCGGAGCATAGACCGAAACAGTCAACAGCACAGCAAATATTCATTCCATTTCTAGTTCCATTCTATACTCCAAACGTGAAGGTGAATGACATAGGAGGATTGGTAAATGGAAATGGTAAAATATATTGGAACAGTATTTGTCTAGAGGATTGTGTGACATGATCTTCATTGCAGAGGCAATCGCTGTGGCTGCTGCTCCTTCTGGGCACAACAACTGGACTGCTGGACGTGGAGGCTAGAAGCCACCGTAGTCGCACTCGCATTCAACGGCGAGATGAAGGTGGTGTAGACCCACCAATCGACGTAGCGACAATTCCGAAACCTAATGTTATTAAGCACTCGGGGGAACTGTGTGCGCCAGAAGTTACCAAGGACGAGCTGATGGAGGTAACCATTTTGGGAGCCACCAAGGTGATCCTCAAGCAGGTGGAAAAGCACAGCCTAGATCAGCCGATGAGCACGGATGTGGTGACCTCCATCAGTGAATTGGTGATGAAGGAGCTCTTGGCCGGTGGTGCCATCCAAAACATGATTGACAAGCTGAACGTCTGGTGTACCGTCAACAGGCCACCATTTCTTTCGCAACCCACGGAGGAACCAACGACACTTGACCCGGAAGGCCCGTATGTCCCTCCTTCTGAACCTGAACCGGAGCCTGCACCTGAGCCTGAACCTGAGCCAGAGCCTGAGCCAGAGCCTAAACCAGAGCCTGAACCAGAGCCTGAACCTGAGCCAGAACCTGTGCCGGAACCTGAGCCAGAACCTGAGCCAGAGCCTGAGCCAGAACCTGAGCCTGAACCGGAGCCTGAACCTGAACCAACAGGCGTAAATTCGGACTACGACATCTCTGGCAGTAAGTCTTGCCAGGGAGAGGCTTGCGAGGTAGACCCTCCAGCGTTAACCGCGAATTGGCATGACATCAGCTGGCTGTGCCTGATCGAAAATGGGAAGGTCAAGTGCTATTCGTACCACTACGATGCCAATAAGGAGATATCTGTGGAGGAAGTGGAGTCGTACGATGTGAATGGCCGGACGCTCGCCAGACATCGGTCGCGTCGGGCCAAAACTTACAGGTCGCGCGCCAGCCTTCACAGGAGGTCAAAGCACAGGAACCGGAAGCTGAAGCACGGCTTGCGCCGGAACAAGGCCAGGCCCGGCCACCGTCGGTCCAATCACGGCAAACGCCGGACCAAGACCAGCAACCGTCGGAAAAAGGCCAAGACAGCCAAAGTAGCAGCCGAATCTCAAGTACTGCATTCAATAAAGTAATCCTGATGTGAGCTGGGCTTGGTGGGCCTTCTCTCCACAGGCCAATCAGCAAATTGAAAACTGTGCTAGCATTGGGGGATCGCTGATATAGCCACAGAATACTAATCGATTGGACCGCATATTAAAATCGGCAACAAATGAGAACCTATGGCAGAGAAGCAGGAGAGGTGGCGAGATGGTGGGTTTGGGTGTCGGTATGGGTCTGGGTCTGGGTGGGGGTGGGGGCAGAGCCGTGACAAGTAGAGCAAAAATATTTCATAAACATTCCATTCCGAGAACGACGCAATTAAATTCAAAGCGCAGCGAAGCCATTTTGGTATTTGATTGCCCCAAAGGCGGATCTCGATGCGGCCGGGAACAGGACAGCAATAAATTGCGGCAGCCCGTTGGGAGTTTTGCAAGAGCAACATCAGTTGCAGTCGCACCTGCAGCCGCACCTGCCACCCGTGCGCTGTGCCTAAGCAAACAGGACACAGCGATACACAGCGAGATACACTCCCAGCAGAAGTTGACACAAGTTTGACAATTTACGAGCGTAGAGTAAATACTAAACACAGGATAAACCCACCGCGGAGCTGGCTTCCATGTGGACGTGGAGCTCCTGCATTTGCGCGGGGGGGTAATCACGGGATACGCCGATGGCTGTGCTGCGCTCTGCGAATTGCTTTTGGGTCTGACTAATTACGACCACCCCCTGGAAAATATTCCCAGCATAATTTCAACGCCTGGCACAAAATAAATCACGCATACGCCGTGCTGTACCTGGCGCAGATCAGGCGCCCGATTGGCCAGAGCCGGGATGCGCACCAGATGCAGGACAGGAGGACATTGATTTATGTTCGCTCAGATATTTCCGTCCAATTTTTAAGTTACTTTTATTATGACAAACGCAGCTTCGGATGGCTTCCCTGCTCGCTTGCGTCCTTCCACCTTTCTGTTTTCATTATTCATGATTTTTGCTGCCAACTGCGAACAGCCAACAGTCCTGGTGGCTCATCCTGGCGTTTTCCTCAACATTTGGCAGCATCGACGGAGGAATTGATAAATGGCCCGCTATTAAATGAACACTTAATGGTGCATAACGTGTGATATACTGTCGGCAGGCAGGCAGAGGCAGGGTGGCTGGCACGGAATCGAATGAGCTAAGAAATGAGTCAATTAAGAGCCAGCTGGTTGGGCTCTAGATTCGGTTTTCGTTTCAGCTCCAGCTGTACATCCAGTCGCCTCTTGCCATGTACCGGAAAACCCCAATCGCATTTCTCTACATCGCTTAAGCCGATGCCAAAGGCTCATCGCAAATTTGCTCTCGCTTAAAATCTCATTATTTTAAGTAAAAGAATGTAAGGCAACAAAATGTGAACTTCCGCAGGGTGCGTGGAAAACAAAGAACAAAAATTATTACCACTTTTGTTGGCCTGCTGCAAATTGAATTGATTTTAATCTCCATCTCCATGCGCACACATGCCGAGGGGGAACACGAACGGGGCCGCCAATGAAATTTGCATTCGAAATCGCTTTTCAAAAAACTTGCACAGGAACCTTCCAGTTTCAGTCCAGGGCCTCGCCTTCCTTTTGCGAGGAAGTGAATGTGCTGCGAATTTAATTCGGGACCCAATAAAAAAAGTTGGAGGGAAAGGAAAAATTCGCATACACTCGGCCAACTTTGGTGCGTGTGCGAGGGATGATAAGACTCAGCAGCAGCAGCAGCAGCAGAAGGAGCAGCAGCAGAGGCTGACGGCACAGATACAGATACGGAGCTGGAGACAAGTGCCCCAGCGGCAGGGCAGGGCTGGGCTGGGCTGGGCTGGGCTGGGCCGTGTGTCTACCCACAATCTGCCTGGTCGCAAATAAACTCGAAAGACATATGAAAATCAGTTTTTGAATATTGGCGAAGGGCAAACACGAAGGCTGGAGGACTCTTCTGTTGCGTGCGAGTATCCTGCTGGAGCAGCACTTTGCCCTGGCACACAGCCAGGGGATGGTATGTCATGCCCGGGGATGGAGCCCAAGCCCAGGCCCCATCCCATCCCCTCGGGCATAGCATTAGGCCAGATATATATGTATGTTGTACGTTGTATGTAAATGCGGCCCAGAGGTTGTTCTGGCATACTATCTGCCCTTCGGCGTTGGCGGCCAGCATCAGGAGCAAATGTAGCAAGAGAAATTTAGATTTTTGGGTCATTACTTGCCAAAGGATATGCTGAAACAGAGCCAGAACTGCACGCATACGTAAAGCAGTAATCCAATGGAATTTCCTGCAGTCCCTGGCCCTCTGTTTTCGACAATCGACGGATAGTCCGAGTCTCTAATGGCCAGCAATCACATTACTGATGCCGATCCATTCATGAGGCCAACTGCCACTTGCAGCACAATTACCGCATCATCAACACCACAAATGCCAGCCAAATGCCCAGACTTTGGTGTGAAAATCATCACAGCCTCTGGCTGCAGAAACAGTCAATCCACAAAGCACAAGAACAGGCAAAACATGTACGAGTACCGAGCAGAGATGCCAAATGCATGCACTCATACTGAATGCAAATTGCGGGCGCACAAACGAGGAACGACCCACAAATCCACATGGAGAAAATTAGTGTGAAAATGCAGAAAGGAAGGAATGCCAAGGTAGAAGGATTTGCCCATGAAAAAGAGGGTACATTCATCATTGATATGAGCCTACATATCTGTGTTAATTATGCTCATGTGCTGTCGTTTCTGGGGCTCTACGAGTATTGAATGGCATTGAAGATTAAACTATAGTAATCCGATTCGAGTTAAATCAATGAAAGGGCACCAAAATCAATCGCTAAAAGGCTTTCAGACCAATTGAATCAAATGCTCAAAACATTTGTATTAAATTCAGCAAAAAACATGCAATTCCTTCAACACTTTATTGATTTAAGGGCTCGAATTCTGTTGCCTAACTTCAAATGAAATTCAATTCACTGGAACCGCCGAGTAGTTTGGTGGTAAACAAGTTCTTCCGCGATTCGTAGAGCAGCTCCTGCCATCAATTAAAAAACCTTTTTGCCAAAATTAGCGCACTCAATTAATTTGAAAATGCTTCTCCCGAGCTGCGCTTCAGCTCGGTCCTTGCCAGCGTCCCTCCAACTCCCAGCTGGTTGCTGGCACGCCCACACAAGCAACCTTTTTGGGCAACCCCGAACACAGAAACACAAATACAAATACAAACACAAACACACGTAGTACACCTTGACAGTGAGTGAAATTTCAATTAATCAAGAGGTGGAAAGGAAAGGAGAGGATCCCTCTGGTCGGGAACGGGTTAACCCTTGTCTGCGCAGAGCCACTAGATTCGACCCAGAAAGCGATAGAGTTCCCGCAAGAGGAGGGAAAGGGGTCACGAAATATCCCCACCAGAGAATCGAGGGAGAAAGATAGAGAGAAAGAGCTGGCACACCTTTCCCTTTCGCTTGCTGCTGCTGCTGCTGCTGCTGCTAGTGCAGGTGGCGATTAGTCATTATTTATTTTAAAATCAATTAGTTTGCCTGACATGAGAGGGCAGAGGTGAGAGAGGGAGAGAGCCATAAAAGTTCACGTCTCATTGGCAGGGAAAAACATTTTTGCACACAACTTTTGGCTTTCGGTCTTTGTGCTGAGTAATTGGGGAAATATTCGGCATAGGTTCTACCCTTTCCAAGGGCACTATGATTATTTCAAAGCACACCCTACACAGAAAATAGAGAATCCATTAATATATGAATCTGCGAGGGTATCTAACGGCTCGACAGGTTTCTTTGCTTTCGGTTTGATTGCCAAACGGATTTCACAAGCACTTTCGACCATTTCCATAGGCTGGCCATAACAATAAAGTCGTGAAAATGCACTTACATGTCCAAGGACTAGCCATCAATTAGTATGCCAAGGGCAGACCTCACCATAAAGGATATGATTGCCATTGTGTCGGGAAAAATTTGGAAAATCAATTAACTTTTGAAAGTTGTTGCAGGGTAGGACTTTGCAAATGATTCACTATTTGAACGACGAGTGAGGAAATGAATTCTGCATAGCTGATGGGCAATGAGGGCATCATCTTCTCGTTCATCGCCCGCCTGCCAAAAATGCAAAGCCAACAAGAGCAAAAGTCAGAGCGAGCGAAATGAGCAGAAATGTAAAGCAGGAAATTAAATTTACAAGAAATTGCACATCCATCTGCGAGAACAGCCCAAGCTGAATGTTATTAGAAAGGACTCGTCTCGGAGGATGTTAAGGCGAGCTGTCGACATCTGGGATTAGTTCGACCAGCCTTACTTACGGCTTACGGAAGAAGATGGCCAGGCCGTTGCTGGACCAAGAGAAACAGAAACTGAAGGAGATATTGCATATATTTTATGAATGTTAAATGACTCAGAAATGAATAAGAAGACCAATTATTCATGCTGCCTTGGAAGGACCACAATAAAGCGAAACCATTAAAGAGCAACTACTGCCAGAGGATTGCCAGAGAATATTCCCTGAACGTGTGGCACACTATGCACTTCTCCCTGCGGTCTCTGGCTTATGTGAGCTGAGCAAACGGCTCAGATTTCCTTTGCCCCAATAAGCTGGACAATCTCTTTAAGCCCTTCAAGTGTTTGCCACACACAACAATGTTCCTGGCGAACAATTAAAGCTCACACACAAGTGACATGTGACTCTCCCTGCTGGCTGGAGAGCTCCTGGAATGTTGTCCTTTTTGTGACGTAATTGCTGGCAGGCGGTGGCAGGCAGCAGGCAGCAGGCAGCACGGGAGACAGGCAGCGGCACAACGAAGCTTATGAAATTAATCAAACAATGTGACTGGATGGATGGATGGGCGGTGGGGCAAAGGACTCATGTGGCAGCAGAACATGCATAAATCAGAGAGTTTTCCCAGGGAAATAGTTTTGTTCAAACAACGTCCCCAGAGATTCGGATCAAGTTGGGGCTGTGCCTGTCGTCGGGGACTGCAGCCAAAAAGTCAAATGCTTTCAACGTCAGCAACTGTCGCCCTCGAGAGAGACGGTGGAGCAGGAGCAGCAGGAGGAGCAGCAGGAGGAGGCGGAGTATGGGGCGGGTTG